AATGACATGCGGCTGCCTAGGACAATGGGGCATTTTGTTGTAATTTCTTGCATGCTCTAATAAAGGTGAACATTTGAATACTCCAGATATGTTGTTCTTTTAACAACTCTGGAAAGTACATCACAGGAAAGTCCGTTGCCCTATTGATATTCTTTGTTGTAAAATGACAGAAAAATATAAGCTGAGTAACTTCAGTGGAATAAGCAGTGGTCCACAGTTTCGGATGCAAGAGTTCAGAGTTACTTCAGTTCACACAGCCAGAACAAAAAGCACCAAGAATCAGATTTTCTTATAATCTGCTATTGCACCTCTCATATTATGCCACAAAATAACTCTAAAGCAGGAAGAAAAAAAATCACTGCAAGCTCTAAGACCACATGAAGTCTGTTAAGATCAATTATCATCTCCATCTAATAATTTCTCACTATGTCCATTTAGGATTCTAATCTGCTGTGGAAAAGTTCATGTAAAACATCCCCTATCACTATGGCAATGTGCCCAGATATCTCAAAGCACATACTGTGGGCAAGATGCTGTTTCTGTGCTCCAGAGAGCACCAGCTTTAAGAATAGCATAATGAGTGTTCATTAGAAATTAAACACATTTGCAAAAGAATGCCCTAGCTTCACTATCTCCTACCCTGAGCACCTAATCCTTCAGCCTTAAGAACTGAACAAGATCTAGTATGCCACTAACATGCATTTTATTACAAACTACTTTTGGCCTCAGAGCAACATTTGTTTTCATACACTGATGCAGATATACAGCTGACAGCAGGAGGCTGGCAGACAGGAAGAGCCGTATAAGAAACTACTTTTAATACAATAGGAAAATCTGCACAGCAAGGAAGGAATGACCCCAGACACAACAATTAGTTAATAGGAGATGAAATTACTAGTAAAAGTCTATTTCAGGAGACACCCAGAAACAAGCAGTGACAGAAGAGATGGATGATACAGGAAGAATGAGATGAAGGCCAGAGCATTAGTAGGAGAAATTCCACTGTAATGCAAACTGTTTATCAAATGACTGTCCAAATGCTGCTTTGTGCAGCAATCCAGAGAAGTAGAGCATCGAAGAGCGAGTGCATCAGTCCCATGATGCTGATGCTACAATCACTGCAGGCACTTCACACAATTCTTTTTTCTGACTACAAATTGAGAGCAGATCCAGGAGAATCCTGCAATTAACTTAACTCTGCCTGCAGAGAATACCTCAGAAAGCCTCCATGAGCTAGCAGATGCTACAGAAAAGTAGTTAATTCTGTTTTTAGTAGGTACTACCTTATTACCCAAGATGAGCAAATGGAAGAGATTAACATGGATGAGAGCCAAGACTGCAACAAAACTAGTTTTCAAAATGACATGCTAGAACTATAACAATTAAATCAAAACAATTGAAAGGCATGTGTTAGCTACTCATTTGCTACTGCAATCCAGTTTCTCCTCTCACAGCATAGGTAGCCATTGGAAGACAACAATTTCTGGAATTCCAGCTTAACAAATTAAAGTTAATAGGCGTAAATTGTTAACTAAAGCCGTTTTTCATATCTTCAAAATAATCTCTCCTTGCTGTTCTCCAAGCTCATAGTATCCTCCATAAAATAAAACTCAGACGACTCTTGACACTGTTCAGACGAAAAAGCAACCTTACTATAGAAACATGACTGCACAAACATTGGAGCTGAACAAGCAAACCCACAGTATGTATGAGAACACTGGGGTTTGATCATTTATATACATTTATGAGAGGTCTCTCAGCCCTGATCTATTTCAGGCTACAATGAGAAACTCCACACCCACCACCAGGTAGCTTCAATGCTTTTTGAGGAGACACAGGTAGTTCATTCCCATCCAAGGAATCCTGAGCAGGATGAGTATTTTACTCTAAGAAGTTTTCTGTTTACTTTGAAACACAGCATCCTTCAGTTAAAAAGAGGTTCTGGACCAATTATGCTAGAGTTTTTACCTTCCTGCTCTGGGTGCTGTTCGGAAAAAGGTCCTCTAGGGAGTCCTAAATAAAATCAATATCCACTGGCCTATCCAGTCTTTCTCCTCTGTGCGCTTAATCAGCCTACAGCCTGTCCCGTTTCAGTTGTAGTGCAGTTCATGCTGTTTAACATCATTTCATTAACAGTTGCTAGTACACACCACAAGAGCAGTATTATTATTAAGCCACGAGACAGAACTAGTGACCCACCAATAAAAAGTTATACTAATCCTAGAGAATTCAGCCAGTAAAGATGTTTTAAACCAGAAAAAAATGACCAGTACTTCCTTCTGAGCCAGTAATATCATGTCTAATACTGTCCATGCTAGTTGTGCAGTATCTTTCTTTGCATATAACAAAGAAAACTGCCCTTCAGTTGATAATACCATTTTACTAAAATCACATCATCAGGCTAGACTCTGCATATTTCATTACAGTACTACTTAGACTATAAATCCTTCTAGTACCATTTCTTTTCAATTTAACCCTCTTAATTAGAATCCAAATTAAATGAATGCCCTCTCTGCTTTCAATTTCTCATTTGTGTAAGTGTTGAGAGGGACAAACAAAAATCCATCTTAGCATACTGGATGGCATTCTGTGCACACAGCCTCATTTTTTAGCTCTTTTATTAAGCTTTTCTGTTTCAAGCATAATTTGATACACATGACAGTTAGCAACTGTTGATGGATACAGGAACTGGAAAGCTAGCAAGAGGAAGCTTTCAGAAGTAAAGGCAGTCAGGAAAGCAGCTTCAAAACAAGTTTCAAGTTTCTCATTTAACTCACAATTTTAGGTACCAGCAGACAGACTTAAGTTTGACAAAAGATCCTAAGTTATAGTGCGGCTACAGCCACTTCATTAAATCTTACCAGGTTGCAAAGAAGTTTCTCAACTTTTGAGCACTTACTACTTGTCCAACATTAGAAGTTAATACTGTCAGATGTCATTTTACTTCCGCACCCCAATATTACCACAAATACAACTACACCAACTGGTGCAAAAAATTAGGTCATAAAACATGCACTGCAACTAAGATGCCGCATTTTCATCTGCATCTCAAATTTCTTTGATTCTCCTTCTACAGGCCTCCTCATGTAGACGCATTCTGAACAGCAAGTTTTGATCTGACATTCACACTCTTAATCTTACTTGCATCCTACTTTCTCAGTACAGCACCCTACATCCTTTCCAGCTTTAAAATCAAGCGTTCATTAAGTCTCAAAGGCTATTAAGGCAACTGCTTCCTTTCAAAATTCACATAATACTTCAAACCGGTCACAGCTTTGCTATTATCTCTTGACAGATCCCTGAACTGCTCTCACCCACCCAGCTTGAGTACTCACAGACAAAGCTTTAGTTTTAAATCTAAATGAATTGAAACAAAGGGAAACAGAAGGCTGAAAACGGGGGAACAAATGTAAAAAGCCTACTAACTTTTCTGAAGAACTCCCGTTATCTTATTGCAGTGTTCTAGAAGACACATACAGATATTCAGTCTGATCAAGTGTATCCAAATAGTACTGTTACACTATTAAAACTGCAAAGGTGTTTCAAAATTAACTCTTTTCTAGTTGTTGGGGTTTTGTTTGTTTGCTTTAACCTATAAACCATTTTAGGATACCGAAATTTATAAAGACGCTTAAAATACCTTTTAAAATGGCTTAACTCCTAGTGATTCAGCAGGTTTTAGGATCTCCTACCAAGCAGTAACAAGCTTTATGTAAAAAAAAATATAAAAAATAATAAAAAAAAAACAAACCGTAAGTCAGTAACTTTCCAACTCTTCATAAGCCTGTACGTGGGAAAACCCCTACAAGTTAGCAACAAATCCCTTGCACCAAGCATTCATACTTAATCATGCTCAAGCTTCACAAAGGCACAAGCATTTCATTGCAATTCAAACTCTGTCTGGACGCCTAAAGAAAAAACCATACGGAATCCAGTTAAGAGCCTCCTTTGCTCACAGAAAGCTTAAAATAAGAGGTGTTACTTTTTCAGACCAACCCCACAAATGCAGGCAGCACACTAGTAACCAAGAAGCTGGTTTATTAGCATACCAGCTTAGCTATTTCTTTTCACAGAATGACTCAGCCTACTATTTTCAAAGTTTTCCTTAAATATTTGTCCCACATTTTACAAATAGCTGTTACCAGCTACAGAAAAAAACAACATATCCCAAGAAGCCTTTGCCATTTTACAATACTGAGCACAGAGATTAGCTATATATCCACATTTGGATATATATGCTATAAATGAATGCTCGAGATATCCCATATGGATCTTTCAGAGATAAGCTCGAGAAAAACATCCATGCTTCTCCACATCACAGTTTCGTGCTCACGAGAGAAAAACTTGCCAGGAGTTTCCCTGTCAATAACAGCATACTCCGTTAACGCTGCAGCTCTTTATAGGGCAGCCAAGAGCAACGTAAGAAAGCAGCCACATAAGGAAAATTTAGTTTACAGCTGTCCGCTTTAAACAGATGTATGCATATCCGTAAGGAGTAGAAGCTTGAGTTGAAAAAGCTTTCCATCACTGCTCGCACCTCGCTCTCAAAGTCTATATTTGGTATAGCAGACGTATTTGAGGAGAATGAGTATTTTACAGGGAGGCGGAGGAAGAGAGTATGACATGAAGGTTGCCTTCCCCCCAGTCCTCACTGGAACCGTAGATGAAAAGCACGCCCCGCCGAAGCGGCCGCGGCCGGGGAGGCGCAGACATGTGCTGCCCTCGGCTCCGATGCGGAGGGTGAGTGCGGCTGCAGCCACAGCCTGGCTGCACCCACCGGGACAAAAGCACCGCAGAGGGACCGCGCCGGGGTGGAAGGGGGAGGCTGGCGACCCGCCCTGCAAAGACACGGCCAGCGCAGTCGGCGGCACCGCGGCCGGCCCGGGCATGGCGCGCCCCGGGGGTTGCTCCCAGCCGGGGATACCCAGCTCCCTTCCCGCTGCCCACGCCCCCCTGGGCGTGGGAGTGCTCCCGCCCCCCCCCCTTCATCTAATTTTTACCTTCATCTTCGAGCTCTAGTTTCTCCAGCATCCCTTCGGAGGCGGCCGGGAGCTGAGACGGAGCCGGAGCCGCTGCCGCCGCCTGCGGGAGGGAAGAGAGGAGAAGGAGATGAGCATCCAGGCACGGACTCACCGGCCCCACGGCAGCATCAGAGCAGCCCGGCGCGGCGGAGGGGAGTGGCAGCGCTGAGGGGGCGGCTGGCGCTGCTCCCGCCGAGCGCTGAGAGCAGGGAAGGCGAGACAGCGCTGGGGCCGGGCGGCGGCTACCCCTCGGCCTCCCACACGCGCGGCTCGCTGCGCGCTGCCGCTTACACACGCACCGCACACACTGAGAGGGGAGGACCCGAGACTCGCCCTTCCTCCCCCCGCCGCGGCGGCGGCGGCGGCTGCGCCCAGCCCATTAACCCTGCGGCCCCCGGGCGCGCCGCGGCCGTGCCTCCCGGAGGCACCGCCTCCCCCCCGCACGGAGAGAGCGGCAGTTGGCGGCCTGTGGGGGCACGGGGAGGCCCGGTGCCTTTTCGCTGGACAGCGCTTCCCGCCACACCTCGCCACCGCCTCTTCCCCGCCTCCCCCCCGCCTCTCCCCCCTCCGGTGAAGGGATTGGTACATTCCCTTTTGCTGCAGTCAAGCCCGCTAGTCAGCAGCGGGAGGGGAAGGTAACTACCATTTCTGCGCAAAAAAATAAGGGAGAGATTTACTGCCCCAAGAGCTCTGCCAAACCAACCGCCTTTTGCAGCCGTCTCTGCAGTCTCGGCTGTTCCCCTGGCTCCTTTGGACTAGAGAGCTGCAAGAGGAGGCGGAGGAGAGGAAAGCCCTCCGCTCCCCCCCTAAAGGCGGGATTGGTATAGTCCAGCGCGTTCACCTGCGAGGCAACGGCTGGGAAGCCGGCAGTTCCACTGCCCTCTGGGGGGGGGAGGAAGGCTGTGGTGATGAGGGGTTTCCCCCGTGTATGCGAGGGAACTCCCGCACGGGGCCGAACCGCCATGGCGGGGTACCCGCTCCGGGAACAAACGCGCTCGTTTCCATTTAAAATGTTGGAGAAGTTACAATTCAAGATTAGCCCGAATGTCGGCGTCTTCCATGTAAGTCCCGCGCCTCTACGAAAGCCGGTAGCTAGCCTCGGAGCAGTCCCCTCAGGAGGAGGAGGAAGGCGGTAGGCGGCCCTGCGGCTCCTCATGACATGTTTCAGCTCGGCCACAAGTTAGGGGAGCTTGACTTTGGGTTAGTGAAATTCTAGTTTACATTATGCAGTGGATCAGACTAGATGATCCTTCTTTAAAAGTCATTCTTGAAGAAACAACCCCAAATTGAAAGCCCCACCATTGCTGGCACTACCAACAAGTATTTCAGAGCTGTTAACAACTGTGCTGGGTATGAGGTGGTATAAAGCCCTTTGCTTGGGCTCAAGCACCTGAGTAGATAATGGTGACAGCCCAAACTACTTGCTGTTACTGGTGTCTGAAGGATGGAGCTTACACCGTAAGAGGTTCTGCTAACCAAGAATGGAGCTTGTTGCACCCAGCTTTACAAGTCTGCGTCTGAGCTACAGCAGAATCAGTGGAAATAAGGAAATACTTGAAATAGGTTCATAATTTAGATTTACTTAGACAGATGTGGTAAGCTTTGGCTAGTCTTCCTTAACTATGATGAATAGGTCCCCACTGACTATTTAGGGAGCCCAGCAGGACCAGTTCAGACATGGATGCTGTAGAGGTAGGTAAACAGATTATTTCTTTGGTAATGGCACAGATCTTGTGGGCAGACATACATGCATGGTGCTCCAAAAGAGTAACAGGCACCATTAGAGAACATTTAAAATCTGCTCTTGCCTAAGGAGAGGCTCAAGCTTCAGAAGCTCAGCAAGTCTTTCAAGAGGGGATGGTAGAATGGATCTAGGGTAGCACAGCAATGTGTGTATAACATAGGAAAGCATGAAAGGTAATTTAAAGCTATGATGGGAGGAGAACCACAAATCATGGGAAAACAGAAAGTTGTCTGTAATTTCTGAAGTCCAGAGAAGTTTCAAGCAAGGAAGCTAACTACTGGTGACAGCTTCTTTTTCCCAAGCTGACTCTATAGGGACACTTTTAATGATAGACGAGGACATTAACAATACCCAGTTCTTTGCTGTAAAGATCCTTTGAAACAAAAATAAATCCTAAACTATTTAATTCCTGGTTGTATTTTTAAAAGAATTCTGGGATTTCAATAAATACTCATACCAGTCAGAGAAGATAGCAAAGCAGTTTAGATTAATTTATAGTATTTTTGGCCTGTTAACTAAAATGCTTTGGAACGTTTTAATTATCTCTGGCAGCTATCTTTAAAAGCTCTAAATAATTTATCTTCCTTATCATGTACCTTAATATTGATAAGAGTTTTCAACCTCTTTTGCTAACTAAGGGTAAGATAATAACGTATCTGATTGGAATACCTGTCATGTTTCTGTTTTGTTGGATTTTTTTTTAAACAAACAAAAAAACCCCAGTATTTACTCCCCATCATTATCTAGTAAGCACCAGCCATGAGGAAATACAACTCCAAGGCTGATTGTAGCTGGAAGTGACACTGAGTCTTTAAAGCTGCACATTGCATTCACTTGCCATAAAACACGGGTATGTTTGTGAGAAGTCAGTTACACTTATTTCATGTAACAGGCTACACTGTGCTGTGAACCTCAAGAGCTTACTGCAGGATCAGGATTTTACAGTGGCAGAATCTACATCCAAATCAAGAGCACTATGAGAAACTCAAGATAATACAAAGGCAGTAATTTAATGAGTAACAGAGATTTGTAATGGTAACATTATGTTGTAACATCTACACTGCCCCAAAAAAACCCAAAGGAAATAGAAAACTAAAGGCTGAAACCCCATCCTTCAGTCTGCCTGCAGTCTTAGAATTTGTCTAAGCCAATTCTGCACAAGCTGCAGATCATGGCATTCATTTTGCTCATTCATTTGGCGTGTGTGCAACACTGAGTAAGAACAGGAAACTGATGCAGCTGAAAACCAAAGGGACTGAAAGATTGGGTTTTGTCCAGATCAGTTCTTGATCCAACTCACTGTGTGGTTGCAGCAGTTAACATAGGCACAAGGAGTGTTAAAGGCAGGAGTGACGGTGGGAGCACACCTTCTGGAAACAACCCACTCTTAAATCAGCTTAAATCAGTGGTGAAAATACCATCTTGTTCTTTGTCAACTACTACATTAGACAGATTAGCAGGTATTTTTACAAGTCTTAGGTACTACCTCTCTCTACAGACTCTGCCAGTCTACAATAAAGATTACTGGTTAAAGAGAGGAAAAAGATCTGCCTTTCAAAGGACATATAATTCTCACTAAGATTATATTATTTAGTGTAACATTTAAATACCTGTTCATTGTGACTGTTCATTCACCTGCCACAGGAGCTTTTAAGTAACTATAACCTAGTTATATTGTGGTTTAAAAGTTTGCTACCAGAGTGTGTCAGGTAACCCATTTCAACTCTTTGAGATACCCAATGGGACGAGAGAGTATATACTTCATGTACTAAATACTGATAAGCAAAATAGATTTTACATATAGAAGTTCAAAAGAGAAATATATGCAAAACCAAACCTGCCTGAATACATTTCTTCATTGTCAGGGTTCAATTTGGTTTTTACAGGGGCATTATTTATGCCAAAACCCATGGACCTACGACATAATGCTAATACAGAATCTTAATACAGCACTGCCAGCACTGTAGAGGCAAAGTAAAACAAGTCATGGTTGATACAACAGCAAAAGTCATAAAAAGATGGGTGTAAACGAAAGAGATTTTAGGACTTTTGGGAAGGCTAGAATGCAGATTTTAATAGGTAACTCCTTACTTTGTGTCTGCCTTTCTGTAGCTTTCTAGGGTAAAGGGAGTGACTAATGCTCTATGGCAGTAGAGTCAGTCCTGTAAATTATATATGCACTTATAATGAATATGTTAAAACCTATCTGATAACCTAGGAGTCCTTTTAGTCCTATGTCCTACTGAAGGAATCCCATTATTTTCATCAGAAGACGCTAAGTATTTCAATTGTAGAGACAGTTCAGGGATATGAACAGTAATTAGCAGCAGCAGATTATTTTTGATGTAATTTCCTGCCATTTTGTCTCCCTGGATTAGCAGGAATGCATCCACTGGGATAGGTATCTATCCATGGCAGTCATCAGACCAGCTATATCAAAACACTTTGAATGGCACCTACTGTGTAGTTTTTCATATGAAACAGGTTACCATAGGCTGCTGCGTCTGCAACCAGTGAAGAAACAAACACTTCTAGGACATCATTAACTTGGCCTATTTCAGACAACTACTTAGGATATAGTGATTTAGGGGCCACAAAGATGCTCCGAGGGCTGGAGCACCTCACGTGTGGAGACAGGCTGAGAGAGCTGGGCTTCTTCAGCCTGGAGAAGACAAGGCTACAGGGAGACCTTACAGCAGCTTCCAGTGCCTAAAGGGGCTACAAGAATTCTTGAGAGGGACTTTTTACAAAGGCATGTAGTGACAGGACAAGGGGGAATGGCTTTAAGATGAAAGAGGGTAGATTTAGGTGAGAGATTCGAAAAAAATTCTTCACATTCTTCAGTATGAGGGTAATGAGGCACTGGAACAGGTTGTCCAGAGAAGCTGTGGCTGCCCCATCCCTGGAAGTACTCAAGTCCAGGTTGCATGGGGCTTTGAGCAATGTGATCTAGTGGAAGGTATCCCTGCCTGTGGCAGGGGGATTGGAACTAGATGATCTTTAAGCTCCCTTGAACCTAAACCATTCTGTGATTCTATGATTTGCAGTCACTCTACTGATTAGATCTCTGGTCAGGTTCATTCTTCTTAGCATATTATCTATAAGGGAAGGAGGGGAGGGAGACAAGAAATTATAAACTGTAAAGTGTAACTTTTATTCCAAGATGGATAAGAGAACAAATACAACAATTTTAAGCAGTTAGGGAGAAGAAAGGTCATCAGAAACAGCCAAGGTGTATAAACAACGCCAAGGCAACTTCAGTCACTGTAGTAACTGGCTTCTGGTAAGCAGAGGCAACAGGAGTTAACAGGACTTCTGACACTATCTTGCATGACACTCACGCAAGCAAGCCAGACAGTCCTGATGAAATGACTGCTAAAGGTTACAGCAGTATTCACAAGGAAGGTAGTAAGGTTTCTGTGTTGACCTGGAAGGGTTGAAGACAGGGTTCCAGAGAGGTCTGTGTTCTATCTAATATCATTCAGTGACTCACTGATGACTTGATGAAGAAATAATGAATAACCTGATCATATTTTCAAATGACTCAATGGTAAGAGATGGTGCTCTTTTAGGGATAGCCTTAGAACTTAAAATAATCTTGAGAATTGCCACAGTGCTTTGAAAAATAGGATGCGCTTTGATATGGGTAAGTAGAGCATAATAAAATGGGAAAGGATTGGCTTGCAGCAGTGGTGCAAGGAAAAGACCTGAGAACGAATAAACATGTCAGACAACAATGTCAGATTCTTGGGAGGAAAAAAAGTCACACTATCTACAAATATGTTATATGTAAGACACAGAGAATCTGTTCTACACATTCCCTGGCTAGATGCCAGTTTATGGGGATCCTGCATTCAGTTTTGGGTATTGAACTCGAGAATTAGCCAAGGAAGTCCAGGAAAAAGCAACAATAATGATTTAGGAGCTCAGAAAACATGACCTGTAAAGGAGGACTTGAAAAGCTCCCAGTTTCTTAGTCTAAGGAAAAAACAACTGAAGGAAAATGTAATAGCAATCTCGAAAGACAGACTCATAGATTCATAGAACAGTTGGGTTGGAAGGGACCTTCAAAGCTCATGTAGTCCAATCACGTGCAATGAGCAGGGACATCTTCAACTAGATCAGGTTGCCCAGAACCACTTCCAGCCTGGCTTTGAATGTCTCCACGGATGGGGCATCCACCATCTCTCTGGGCAACCTGTGCCAGTTAGCACACTCATTGTAAAGAATTTTTACCTCACATCCAGCCTGAATCACCCCTCTTTTAGTTTAAAGCTGTCACTCTTCATCCTATCACAAGAGACCCTGCTAAAAAGG